CCTTGCTTGAAAATTTGTACCGTTGCTCCCACTGATGTATCTGTTCTAGAGAGAAACAGGCTTTCATTTCCAGGACTGTCAAATGAAGAGCTTTCACAAGAATTCAAAGATTCACTCTATTATTGCACATCATAGAACTCATGCCTGTAACTTGAAAATAGAAGTCTTTGGTGTAGGCATTTGCTTGTTTGACAGTTCTGTTCTAAATCTTGAAACCGGTGGTACAGTAAAGTGCCTGTCTGACAATGGTGTACCAGCGCTTAGTCATGCAAAATAATTATTGTTCACGGTTCCTTAGCTGAAGTCAATAGCTTCGTGCAAAACACAACATAATGCAGAGATCTAAAGTTACTAAATCAAAACCAAGGAAAAGAAGAATTTAAAAGAGGTTTGGCAGAAAATAATAGCTTCTACAAGATTTGCCAAGTGATTTCTCTCAGCACATAGAAGGCTCTAATATTTCTAAAAGGGGCTCCATGATAGAAAGGATGGTACATTCTGGTAATTCTTGTCAGGTAGCTTATACAATGTTAAAGAAACAAAAGCAGTTATGGGGATACTAATAAATGGTGCATGGTGCTTGTTTTCTAAACTTGAAATGATATGTTCAGGTTTGCTTCTGTGAATTCATTGTTTTAAAGCCTCCAATATACCACCTACTTTGAAGGGATTGATTACAATAACTGGACTTTTGTAACTAAATTTTTGTGAGTGGAGCATCAGGATGCCTCCCCTGGACTGTAGGCTCCATGAATCAGTGTAGTGGTGTATGCTGAAAAGTCAACATTAATCCTACAGATGAAGAATTATGTCTCCACGTTGCCTGAAATATTTGCCAGAGAATCTTGGCAAGATTAGGTGTTTTTGCTTAGCTGCTTGAAATGAAAAGGATGATGTCCTTCTTAACCCTTGCACTTACACTTACTCTTCTTCTGGGAAAAACAAGCAATTTTTCACTTCCTCAGAAGAGCGAGAAACATAGAAATAAATTAGGATTGTGCAGACCTCTCTCTGTAATATATTTATCTACATTGTTCCTTCCACACTTTCCATTTGATATTAAGATGGAACTGAAGGTGAATACGTCATTATTTTAGGCTTAGCTCATCGTCACCTTTCACAGTTAATGAATTTTTAAAAGTTCATTTCTTATTGAGGTAGAATTTGTATACAGTGGAGTGCACAGATTTTAAGTGTGCAGTTCAATAAGTTTTGACAATTATAGACAGTACTCTCATGTAACTAACATCCTGAATGTTTTCATCCCTCCAAAAAGATTTTTTTATGCTCCTTTTCAGCCAATCACCACCCCATCTCACTAGAAATAACCACCTTTCGTTTTTGTCATAGTTTTACTTGTTTTTCAAGTTTATCTAAATGAAATTGTACAGTATCTAGTCTTTTGTGGCTCTTATATAATATTAACATAATATTGAGCTTTGATCATGTTATTGTATCAGCTTATTATTTTTTATTGTGATGTAGTTAATATTAGTATATGAATATACCACAATTTATTTTTTCATTTTTCTGCTGATTGACATTTGCATTTTCCCAGTTTTTGGTAATTATGAATAAAGCTATAATGAAATTCTTAACGCTCCACTTTTGTATCTTTCTGTCCTCACTTCTCTTGAAATCCAAATTATCAGTTATTTTTCTCTTACAGACTATAATTTTTGTGTCTGGTCTAAAAAATCCTTGCCTAATCCAAGGTCACCTTTGGATTGAACAGCTTTACATATGCTTTTTTGCCATTCATATCTCTTCTTTTCTGATGTCAAACTCTTTTGTGTATTTTTCTATTTTAACTGTATTTTTCCTCAACTATTGTTATATGTATTCTTGTATCCTTGGTATGTTTTGCATACAAGTTCTTTGTCAAATAAATATTTAAGAATATTTTCTCCCATTCTGTGGCTTACTTATTCATTTTCTTAATGATATCTTTTGGTGAGCAGAAAATTTAATTTTTTTAGGAAATCTGAATTATTTCCTCTTACAGATAATAATTTTTGTGTCTCTGGTATAAGACATCTTTGCCTACTCCAAGGTCATGCAGATATTTTCTTCTAGAAGTTCTGTAGGGCTAAGCTTTAGGTCAATGATCTATCCTGAATTAGTTTTAGCGTATGGTGTCAGCTAGGGGTTAAAGTTTTTTCCATGTGGCTATCCAGGTATTGAAAACTTTCCTTGCTCCACTGAACTGCTTTGGCACCTTCGATGAAAATGAAGTGACCAATTAGTGTGGCTCTGCTTCTGGACCCCATTCTATTCTTTTGACTTATTTGTCTATCCTATACCATGTTCTCTGCATTACCTTAATGAGGTTTGTCCTGTGTTTTTTTTGTTTTTGTTTTTGTTTTTGGTCCCTCTCATTGTGGCTACTTTTATGTCCTCCAGGTAGGTATTAGGTTCAGAGTTTATTTTTTGAAGTTATTACAACTTCCAAATTGCTCTGGATCTCAGTGTCTGTCTATAAAATAGGAAAAATAAGAACTCCCTTATAAGGTTGTTGGGAGAGATAAACAATCTAGTATGCCTTTAAAATGTGTTACAATTTAAAATAATAATTGTATGTTTAGTGTTGCATATTTTTATTCCACTTTTTGTTTTTCTTAATCTTAAAACATATTGTAATTTATGTTTACCGAAAACTCCAAGAAGGGTATGTGCCCTTAGTTTCAGATTGTGGGGACATCTAGTCTGTGGATTTGGGGGAAAAAAGGGTCTAAGATACCTGTAATCAGGAGTGATGGGTCTCTGACTCCTTCTTACTTACAGGAAACATGGTCTAGTGATGACAGCAATCCTTCCTGATATTTCTCTTTTGTCTGTTTTTTAAAAGGCAAGAACTACTAGAATTCTAATGCTTTATTCTTCCAGACCTTTTGATTTGATCTTTCTTTCTTTCTTACTTTCTTTTTTTTTCTTTATTTGCTGTGGCACCTGCTCTTTGCTGAATGAATAACCTTTGTTCTCCCTAATCCAAATCAATGACCTTTAGTACGGTTTTAATATTTGCTAAGTAACTCCTTGTTCCAAAGCCTGGATCCAAGGTCCCTGATAGATTTCTTCATCGGCTGAAAATGGTGGTGAGGAGCAGGGTTCGAAGTCAGAACTCTTCCTTTTACCCACACTAAAGTAGGCCAAATAATAACTTTTTTCCCTTCTGCACTCACTTGAGAGCAAATACCAAAGATGTATAGAAAGTGTACATTCTTTCACAGCCTTTTTCCTATTATTACCCAGTTCATACTACAGTTTTCATTCTCATTCCTAAATTGAAATTTTCTTTCTCAAGTTTAGAAGCAACTTTTTACTTTTTTTGGCTCTTGTGTTTACTAGATTGAAACTCCTTGAGCACAATTATTTGACTGTATTTATCTTAGTTTCAGATTTTAGCATCTAGCCAAATGCTTCGTATTTATTTCCTAAATGTCTGTTGTAGTAAATTTATTACAATCAAGTGCTGATACTGCACCAAAGACAGTGTCATAATAAACCAGACAGGCAATAATTGTTCATGATTTATTGATGACAGGGAATCAGTATTTATTTGTTGATTAGTTAAGTTTGGATACATTTTATAATTGAGTATCAGATGAATCAGGTATCCCTTTTCAAAAGCATATTAGAACCACTCATCTAGAACTCTGTAGAACAAATTATTAAAGTTTTAACTGTCTGTACCTTTTTCTGTAATGTTATCCATAAGATTGGGGCCATAGCACCTCATAATAAATGAAAGAGCCTTTTAAATGCTTGTAGTACTGAATTACTGTGGTGAGATTTCTGTATAGACTTATCGCAAATTCTGTCCTGTTCCAGTTTAGTGTTACAGCGAGGTGCCCGTGTACTTTAACAAGTTAGGTGAATAAACACAGTTTAAAAAAAAAAACAGACATGAAAATGAAGCACTAATGTCTTCTGATGCTAGATTTTCCATTACTCCTACTGATACGCTTATATAGAAATTGTTCCCAGGCCTGTGATTAATTCCTCTGTCCTGGAGCAAACTGGTAAGTCTTATTTCTTTTTTGGTAGAACTTGAACTTGCCCATTAAGTCTAAGACAGCTAGTTCTGGGGACACCTCTTGAAGCTTAAAGGAGGTAACATTAGGCTCCAAAAGAAAAAGGTAGCATACCACACATACCAGGTGGTAAAAATGTTGGAAGTATTACCAGGAGAGAAGTAACATAGATTGAAAACATAAATCCTTGAACAATTTTAGATAAACCACAGGAGCTAGATCCATAAATATTGTGGTGGGGTTAAGAATCTTCAAAATATCCTTAATGTAGATATTGATGTTACAATAAATATGTCTTCCTAAAACATTCCCCTAACTGTCCTGTAAAAATCACACTAAAATGAGTGTGTAGGGAACTGAGCTAGTATAATTTCCATTTCCAGTTTTGATTCTGAACATAAGACGATAGAGTGAGGAAGCAAGTTGTCTGGGATCACAGATTTGGAATAATATGGGCGATCTTTACTAAATGATTACATATGTCAATGCCAGCCTTTGCCTTGCATGGACACAGAGAAAGTGAAGTCCAACGGATCATAACGTTATCGCTGACTTCTAATCAGCATTCCCCCTCCCTGCCCTGCCCAGAGATTTAAATTTTCTATAAAGCTTTTAATGTTTTCAAGATTCAACATTAAGGTCTTTTTTACATTGTTTCCAACTAAATAAAAGTTCACCGCCTTCGCCCTGCTTTCCCGCTCCCATACTTAAAATATGGGAAGCTACAGCGTTTCTAGACAATCGCTAACGTCTCCGCCCCGCTGAATGGGAGAAACGGCAGTTCGGGAAGAAAAGCGGCTTCACCAGGGTTCAAAAAGAGGAACCCAGAGTAAGAGGTTACTCGTGAAAACAACAATTGGGCGGTTTAGGGGAGGAGCTTGGCGAGGCTAGGAGTCTTGCTTTAAGCTCTGGGGAGTAAGTTCGTAGGAAATTAGGCCGAGTGGGCGTGGCGCCCTGTGTCCGGTCCGCGCGCGCGTAGTGAACGTCGCCGCAGTTCGGCCCCTCGCCTTCTGGGACAGGGTTGTTCCCTCGTTGCTGCTGCGATCCACGGTGCGTGCCGGGGAGGGGATGCGGAGGGAGAGGCTCTGGCGAGGGTGGCGGGCGGGGAGGGGCAGGTTGGTGTCCGGTGTTGGCTTGAGAGGTTTGCCAGCCTGCAACTTCTTGGCCTTTTCAGTCGATCACTCCTGCGAGGGCGTTGTGTGTCTGTACCTTCGTAGGTAAACTTTCCCATTGTCAGACTCCAGGAATGACTTTTGAGAGAGTAATCTTTCAATCTTTCCATGTTTACGTGATGATTTATTCGCTCTTTATTCTCATCCACTTAGAAAGGGCCCCCTTGAACCTTTGGGGGAATAAAAAATACGTGCAAGTTATAGTACTGTACATCAAGTCCGCAGTTTAAGCAACTTCTGTTTCCCCTAAGGGTGTGAAATGCTGAAGAGACTCTATTTCACAGTCAAACTGGACTTTGTAGCCACTGAAAGACAGGACGTGTCCTCTCCGTTTACAAAGTCCCTTTGATATGCACGAGAAATATAAGCAAGTTTAAAATCATAATAACAGCAACAAAGTGCAGGAGGACATGGATTAGACACTGTGATATAATAATAGTTATAATTAAATTTAAAAATGCAGAGGGACATGGATTAGACCGTGTGATATTTTTATAGCCAGTTAATTGGAAAACTAAGAACGGAACTCCGTAGAAGGTTCTCCACCCTGAATCTCTAGAGGAAGCCATGCTTGAGTAAAAGAGAAGGGACTTTCTTTGCGAATGGAGGCCTCAGATAGTATTGTTATCTCGGTCCTGGGGAAGTGGAGAGAGGGGTGTCTTCCATTTCCCTCCTTCCTTTGAAAATAGTTCCAACCCTTCTTGGTAGTCCTGGCACCCCTTTTATCTTGTCCTGTTTCCCTGTCCCTGCTTTCTCTCTAAAGAAGTGTCAAGCAGACGCCAATCAAAAATTGTTATATGCCAGAAGGAAGCTTCCCCAGGCGCCCAGCTAACAGACTAGAGTCCTCAGGGCTCTAGACTACTGTGACTGCAAAGCTAGACACATGCTCTGCTTCTCCAGGGGACTTACAACCTGGGAGTAAGGCTGGTTTGGGGGCTTTGCTGTCCTCTGTCCAAAAAGAAAGGACCATATGTGTTAACCATTTCTGGTCACTTCTTAAAATCGGCTCACATTTGCGTATTGGTCTCTGTGGTGGACAGATGTAACTTTTCTAAGGGTTTTAGGAGGGGCGTTCTGTCGTCCCTGAGGCTGCAACCGGAAGTCAGCACAGTCCCCTGAACAGCCTCAGCCCACATCCCTCCAGAGCCACCAGCATTCTCCTCCCAGCATCTGGGCTCTGAAGTTTAGGAGGCCAACTCTGCAGTCTCCTCAGTCCCTTCTGGAAGTTCTAGAGCTCATAAGTAGCAACAAAAGGACATAGGTTATTTTTTTTCCTAATCTCATGGGTAGTGTTCTGTTGGTTTCAGAGAGTGTAAAATTGCCAAGTCATGCCCCTGCGGATGTGTGCCCTGCTTTTCTGTGCGTTTCACAATACCGAGAGAGAAGCCACAGTGAATCAAAGAACTTTGCTCTTTTTGGCCAAGAACCTGTAGAGAGAAGCGTAATATTCCTCGGCTGAGAGATGAAAATGCAACTGTGGTGACGTGGGGGGGGGGGGGGGCAAGATAGAAATGGGATTTGACAGAAAATTCTCCCAAAAGACCAGAGCTACCTGGGATTGTCAGCCTGAAAGTGGATACCACAAGTTAAACACCTGAGAAAACTGGGTTCTAGTGTTAGTCCTTCAATTGTGAATTTGGTCAAATTAGTAACTCTACCTCTCTGGGCCTCAGTTACCTTCTGTGTTAAAGGTGAAGAGAAATATTGTGGAGTGAGACAATGTGAAAGCTTGAAAACTGTAAAATTTTATGCTCAGTGCCTAGAACAGTGCCAGGCTAGGAGCTTATTTATTGACCCTATACTTAGAGTACTTCCCAGGCCCCGGGACTTTTCTCAGTACTTTACACTTTACTCATTTAATCCTCACAAGATTCCTGTGAGATAGCAGGTATTTTAAACTTCATTTTACAGGCAAGGTAAGTAGGCCCCAGAGAAGTTAAATCACAGCTCGTAAGTGACAGAGTCGAGATCCACTTGAACTCCAGAGTCTGTGTGTGCTCAACACTCTGCCATTTGTCCTATCAAAGGCAGTCACATCCACATTAGAGGACTGAGCCCTGCTCTCTGGTGAGACAGACTGAGGTAGTCTCTATTATACCAACCAATGAAAGCAACAACATGCTCTATGTTGCAATAACTTTTTTCTATAATTTATAACCAAGTTCCATATTCTACTCTGCTTACTTTACTTAGATTATTTCTACCTCACTCTGTGAATACTAAAGTCATCTCACATTTTACCCTCTTATCATTACTAGTATACTGTGCTCCTTCCTCCTGGTGACTTTTTGCAGTAAGAAGCTTTCGATAATTTCGTTTTGAGTGCAGTACCCAGCCATGATGCAGGGTCCAGGTAATTTAGTGGCAAATCAACTTCGGAAAAAACAAGTCTAGACCTGCAGCACCTTATGTTATGCTGTATATAAATGAGTCCTATCTCTTAATGTCTTACCTGTATTCCTCCTCACCTGGCCCTTGAGTGTGTTGTGAGTGGAAGATGTTTTTCCTAGGGAGGAGGCTCATGTACCCACAGAGTGTGATATCAGGGGCTCAGCATTGGCCTGTCTTCCAAAACTGCAGGCCAGAGGAGTTAAATCACATTTTTGGTGATTGAGAAACTCTGTGTGAGGTGAACTTTTATAAATTTTTTTAAATTATATTTTATTGATTATGCTATTATAATTGTCCAATTTTTTTACCCTCCCCCTCCCACCCACACTGTCACTCCCTCAGGCAGTCCCACACCTTTGTTCATGTCAGTGGGTCATAAGCATTAGTTCTTTGGCTACTCCATTTCCTACACTGTACTTTTCATCCCCATGGTTTTTCTGTAATTACCTATTTGTACTTCTTAATCCTTTCCCTTTTTCAGCCATTCCCCCAAACCCTCCTCCCATTTGGCAACCATGAAAATGTTCTCTGTATCCATGATTCTGTCTCTGTTCTTCCTGTTTGCTTAGTTTGAGTTTTAGATTCAGTTGTTGATATATATGTAGTTATTGCCGTTTTATTGTTCATAGGTTTGATCTTTTTCTTAAATAAGTCCCTTTAACATAATAATGGTTTGGTGATGATGAACTCCTAGTTTTTTCTTTTCTGGGAAGCTCTTTACCTGCCCTTTGATTCTAAATGATAGCTTTGCTGGGTAGAGCAGTTTTGGCTGTAGGTCTGTGTTTTTCATGACTTTGAGTATTTCTTGCCAATCCCTTTTAGCCTACAAAGTTTCTTTTGAGAAATTAGCCGACAGTCTTATGGGGACTCCTCTGTAAGTAACTAACTGCTTTTCTCTGGTTGCTTTTAAGATTCTCTCTTTATCTTTAACCTTTAGCATTTTAATTATGACATGTCTTAGTATGGACCTGTTTGTGTCCATCTTGTTTGGGACACTCTGTGCTTCCTGGACTTGCATGTCTATTTCCTTCACCAAAGTAGGGTAAGCCCTCGCCTGTGTTCTGCCCAGTGCCACCCAACATACGCTACAAAGGAATCTGCATATGGCTGCTACTTGTGCTGGTCTAGGTGGTTCCCATATGAAGCCAAGCCATGAACCTAGGCTGGCTGCTGCTAATGCCATACCTAGGGCCACTTAGCAAGAGGTATAGGGGCTGAGGGCTCACTGAGGCTCTCTGTTGCTTGTTTGAGAGGATTTAGAAAATGTGAAGCATGAGCTAAGACAAGCCATTCATATGGAAAAGCCACTGTTAACAGCTTGGGTGGGCCAGTAAAGTGGATGGGGCAGAGCCTCAGGGAATCGCTGGGGCAAGGCAAACAGTGTTAGCCAGGTTGATGGAATTTCTGTGTACCTGCCTTTTAGTTCTGTGGCTCTGTGAGGGAAGGGTTCAGAAAAGGAACAATGACCTCTGTCCACTGTTCTATTTGGGAGAAAATTGTCCCTAGCTCTTTCTCTGATGCCATACACTTCATTTCCTTCCCGTATGCCACTGGTGCCTTTCAAGCTACTACCCCAGTGCTGGAGCTCTGGGAAGTGAGTCTGAGTAAGTCTGTGTGTGGGTCCCTTAAGAGAAACTCCTTGGAAATCCAGCAGTTTCTTCCACTGGCTCAAACTCCACTGGTTTTTGCAAAACAGGCTTGCAAACGCAAGGTGAAAAGTTGGCATTTATGGTGCTTTCATCGAAGAAACAGCTTCTGGTTTTTGCAGCCAGAAGTTGTGGGGACTTATCTTCCTGGCACTGGAACCCTGGGCTAGGGGGTCTCGTATGGGACTGAAACTCCTTGCTCCTGATATATCCCTCCCGAATTTTTATCTACCACACATGAGTGTGGGACCAGCTTGTTCTGCATCTCCACCTCTCCTACCAGTCTGGATGGAAGTGGTTTCTTTAATTCCATAGTTGCTGGGCTTCCATTCAACTTGATTTCTGATGGTTCTGAGTGATGGTCGTTCTATAATTTAGTTGTAATTTTGATGTATTTGTGAGAGGAGGTGAGCCAATGTTTACCTACACCTCCATCTTGACCAGAAGTCCCCTCATTTTCACATTTAAAGAAGAAGTTTCTCATTGCTGTTATCCTCCAGCAGTTGATATCTCTGTGCTGGTTTCCCACCAACACTTCTGGAAGTCTTCCGCTTTTTTGTACTCTTTCCATACCAACTTTCACCGAGAAAACATTCCCCGAACTTTTATTCCATTGCTAAATAATGTTCATTCTGAGGACATTAGTAGAGAGACCTACAGAAACTGTTGTAGTTTTAAAATTATTGTTAAGTAGCAACAATTCCTACTTGATAAGCTTTTCTTCACTTTTTAAAAATTAACTTCATCACTGTTTCAGATCTCTTTACAGAAACATTAGGCTTAGGGATCCCTTAAATTAATTACTTCACTTGAGCTCTGAAGGATAGAGCAGTTTATTCATGATTTTCACCCCTCAGTACTGGAACAAGTGCAGATAAGCTATATGTTACCGAAAGTATTACTTGCACAGAGCATTTACCTGATATACTGTGCTTTCAAGATTACTGACTTGTGGAGGTGAATTAATTTATCATACGTATTTTATGTTGTTGTTGTTGTTGTTGTTGTTTTTTAAACCAGACTATATCATTTCTGTTTGCCTTAATCTTAGGAGTGCATTTTTGGCTAACCCTTTAAAATGGAGGTTACATAAGAAGCTTTGTTTTATCTGAAAAATGGGAATAATAATACCTACCTTGTAGCATAATTGGACAAGGAAAGAAGATACCAGATTTAAGGGTTACCCACAGTGCCAGCCAGAGAATACACATTCAGCCAGTGTTAGTTGAATCAGAATTAAGCAGTTTGCAGTCTCTTGAAAGACAGTGCAGTGTGGTTTGTGTATGAGATATGAGATCAGAGATGTGGGATTGTGCTTTAGCTTGGCTGCTTAACATATTTAATTCCCATTTTCTTCAAATGTAAAATCAATCTAGTTGTGAGGATTATAATATTATAGTTACAAAGATTATATAAAGCAATGCTCAAAGTACGTGACATAGTTGGACTTATAGTCGATGCATAAAATTAAATATATATGTATATTGTATGCTGTTAATATCACATTCATCAGTAGCACATTGACAACTATGTGATCAATAACAGAGTAGAGAAAGATATGTAGCTTTATAGATTATGGTAGGTGGATAAAATGATTAGAATATGACAGAGGTCATTTTAATATAATTGCATGCAGGGTCTGAGTTTTCAAGGCAGGAATGAAAGTTGCCTAGAAGAGACTGCACTCCATGCTAGGCAGCTTACATAGCCTGGATGTGAGAAAAGATGTGCGTTTATGTGAAAGAGATAGAAGAAGTAGATAGGAGAGATGATAATGGAACACAAAGAGGTTAAAATGCATGACTATCAGATAATGCAAGGAGTTTAATTTTTAAGATTTACCCTAAATTCCTAACCACTTTGACTTGAGTATCACCACTGTGCCCCAGCTTTCCTCCTGAGCACAGAGTTGTATTCAATTTACTCCTTCCATCTTTTAGATGGAAGTAGTACCTGAAGACTTATGTAAAGCTAATCCTCCTTCCCTTATTTCTTCGATGAAAGCACCATAAATGCCAGCTTTTCGCCTTGCGTTTGCAAGCCTGTCTTATGTTTGGCTGCATTATCCTGCTGCTGCTTCTCACTTGCACTGGTATGAATGATGACCCTGTCATGGTCATAGTAATGGTCACGATAAGCATGGAATAACCTTTATTGAGCGCTTTTCATGGGCCAGGTGCTGTGCTAAGTATATTCTACATGTTATCTCAATTAAATCCTGACAACAACCCAATAAGCTAGGCGTTATTACTAGAACCATGTTATAGAGGAAGACACTTAGCACTAGAGTGGCTAAATCTCTCCAACAAGGTTAATAACCAAATGGTGGCATTGGAATTCAGTGCCTGAGAACTTGGAATACTACTGAAATGACAGAAAGCTGGGAGGTTGGTTTCTAAAGTTTGAGGCATTCCCAACGAAACATTAATGATTCTACTATGTACATGTTTGATGTTTCTAAAGAGCTCAATCCATGAACTCTGATCTTTTGTGTCCAACTTGTGGTTCATCTTCGTGTATCACTGTAGTCTAGCTTTACAAAGTTTTGCCTATTTATTTTGCCCTGTAATACCCCCTACATTTTCATTTTCATTCTACTCCTTTGATGTCTTCAAGCTTAATGACATAGAACTAGAAAAAAAATACTGTTTATTTTGAAATTTTAGAAAAACTAAATGATTATTTTTTCTGTAAGTAACCCAAGATACTTTAAAGAACAGTATGGTTAACACTGCAATATAAGCAGACTAAGCTACCATGAACATATTTGGGATATTTACACCTGCTTTTTCTTATCTTGTCTACAATTTTTTAGGATTCCAGATCAAAGTTGAAAAAATGGTTGACACTGCTCAGCTAATGGAAAATAAAGTATTCATGGCCTTTACCTCTTATGCAACGATTATTCTTTCAAAAATGATGTTTATGAGTATTGCAACTGCATTCTATAGAGTGACAAGAAAGGTAAGAATTTTGAAGGATATATTTTCTTACTTTTAAGAGTTGGAATTCTGAAAAGAAATTTTCTTAATTTACTTCTTTTTTGTAGAGTGTAATGGCACATTATTTAACGTTGCAAATGACATCTGCAGTCATTTGGTATAGATGGAGTTAATATATTTATGGAACAGGTGCTTTCCCCCAGAAACTAGTAAATTTTTTTTTTAATTCTGGGTTTTACCTTTTGTCATACTGCTTCAGCATATGGGATTTCTGGAGGATCAAAGTTTTCAAGGAAACTTACCTGCAATTTTGAAGTTAATTTTTCCAACTAGAGTTTATAAAATAGTCATTTTCCAGATAATTAACTGGTGTTTTCCGCTCTGTTATCAAGGTTGCAGCTTTGGGGACAAAATTAAAGTTCTTATTCCCACAGTAGAGCTTCTTATGGGACAAGGCATTTGGATTTTGTAAACCTCTGACTTCTTAAGTGAATAATATTGCCACCCAGCATTGTAAGAATGATTTAAGAGGAAAATAAACCCCAAAACTGGAGGCATGGAGAAGGTGGCAGAAAGATTTGGAGCACATACCCTATACTCCAGCAAAGTGTATGACACAGTGAAGGCAGTTGAGCAACTCTACCTTGAAAAAGTTAAATGATTTTTATTGGTGTGGCTCCTGTATCCTATTCAGCAATTTATTTTTTTCCTTCTTTTTTTTTTGAAAACCACTTATTTCTCTCTCAATGCCTGTCCTGAATTTTGTCCTTCAGAGCCTTGCTTTAATCTGGAGGTCATAGTACTTGCTAAGGTATTTCATTGTACTGTCTGGAGGTGTAATTCCTTCCCCAGGGATATTTGCATTTTAATGGGGCGCATACCCACTTGTTTAAATCTCTAATGGGACGAGGTGTTGGAGCAGCAGGCTATAAAATAGCTGCCTACCACCAGGTCCCCACTGTCCTCCAGAAACATAGTGGCACCAAGGATAGCAGAAATGTGCCCTGTCTCATAAGGGCAGGACAAAGGAATTCAAATTTGTGGAGTGCTGGTGATGTGTGCCAGGCAGGTGTCATGATGCCCTTCATATGTATCAGATCACAGAATTGTTTCACATAATTGTTAGCACTATCATGTGACATCCTCATTGGTGTACTCATTTTATAGCAGAGCAGCGGAAAGTCAGAGGAGTAATTAGCTTGACCAGTGTTTCACATCAGTAAAGGGTGAGGTTGGGAATCAAATTCATATTTGCTTAAACTCAAATCTCACATACTTTCCATCATATTACAATTATTAATTTGCTCAAAATATATTTCTTGGCTGGCTATCTTGTGTATGCCAGACATTTATTTAGGAACAAGACTGACGTGAAGAGCTGATACTGTATCACATTCCTGCCCATCAGTCTCCTCAACATTTTTACCTGGAATAAATACTCATGTCACATTAAGAAAAATATAATATTTATGACATTTCTGAGTTTAAGGCTAATTTTATAGTTTGTATCTTTATTGTAAATTATTAAACAATGGCCATACTTAAATATTTTATAAGTACACATGTCAAGGTTCAAGGGATGGGGAAATCATTTCAGACAGCAGAATAATTATAGAAACAAATACATAAACAAATGAGGTCTGTCTGGAAAAAAATCCAGCCATTGTTACTATAAAAAGATTGTATTGTGTGACATCGATGTAACCTGGCAGCCAAGGAGAGTGGACTGGAATGCGCATGCATGAACGATGGTGACCTCACTGTACTAATCAGCAGGGGTGGTAGATGCTGTTGAGTGTGTACTGTGTGGCTATCACATTCAAAATTACTTAGCGAGTAGAGCAACGAATCTGCATCAAATTTTGTGTTAAGCTTGAACATTCCTCCATGAAAGCTATTCAGATGATTCAGAAGGCTTTCAGGGATGATGCAATGAGTGCAATGCAAATAAAAGTGTGGCACAAATGCTCCAGAGATGGCCAAGAATCTGTTGCAAGTGATCCATGTTCTGGGAGGCCTGCTACAAGCAGAACACCGGAGAATGATGAACACATGTGTATGGGCTGCAATCAACAAAGATTGGCGACAGTGCGAAAACTAAAGGTGATCTGGGAATTCCAAAAACTACTGTGTCCAAGATTTTGATGCAGGATTTTGGCATGAAATGTGTCATGGCAAAATTCTTTCTGTGGCTTCTGCTACCAGAGCAGAAGAAGCACCATGCTACAGTTGCTAATGACATGATTCAAACTGCTATCAATGAACCAGATTTCCTCAAGAAGTTCATAATCAGAAATGAATCATGGGTCTAGAGCTATGCATATGATCTGGAAACAAAGGCCCAGTCATCTCAATGGAAGTCACCTGGTTTTCCACATCCAAAGAAAGAAGGTGCAACAAAGCTGCTGCAAAATCAAGACCATGTTAACTGTGCTCTTTGATTGGGAAGGTGTTGTCCATTACAAGTACAGCCCTGCAGGCCAAACAATTAATAAGGATACTACCTCAATGTTCTCTGTCAGTTGAGAGGTGCAATATGACGAAAACAGCAGCAGCTGTGGGGAAACTGGTGATTGGCAGCTTCATCATGACAACATGTCCACTCATGCATCACCTCTTGTGTGGAGTTTTTTGGCAAAATATCAAATCACCCACGTGACTCAACCCTCCTACAGCCTAGATTTGGTGCCCTGCTACTTCCATCTTTTCCCAAAACTAAAATCACCTTTGAAAGGGAAGAGTTTTCAGACTGCCGATGAGATTCAGGAAAATATGATGGAGTCACTGATGGCAATTGGGAGAACTGTGTGAGGTCCCAAGGTGCCTGCTTTTGGAACGGGACTGAGGAGTCATTGTCCTATATACAATGTTTCTTGCATCTTCCTCAATAAATGTCTCTGTTTTTCATAGTACATGGCTGGATACTTTCTGCACAGACCTCATATGCCCTAGCACATGTTCTTGGCATTTATAAGAATGGAATCAACTTCTTATATTTCACTATATTATTCAACCCAAAGTTTCAGTTAAATAGAAAAAGAAAAGAGGTACACATATCTTAACAAAGTACAGAATACATTTCCTGTCCCTTGCTCTTCCAATATGGTTAGGAAGTAAACTTTATGATTTTCAGATGAGCAATCAATTGGAAATATTCATACCCTTGAGAGAAGATGCATGAATATCACTATGAAAAAATGTCAGTTCACCATAATGATAATCAACGATGACTTTGAATTATGTCCTCTTTTCTATTTTGCTTACTTTTCACTATTTTTACACATTGGTTTTTATTTAAGTTTTTATTTATGCTCCTCTTTTCAAAAAAATTTTGCACTGTTAATAAAAATTCAGATTTAAAATATAGGTGCTCTTCTCTCCTGGTGTTTGATCTATTGCTCCAAATTTTCTTTCTGTAGGGCCATTCTAGATGCCAGTTTCTTCTGTTAAAATGAAAATAATTTAGATAGAATATCACAATGTTATCTGGTGTTTGAAAGATACTTTTTTTTGGTATTTGGAATAGGTTTTTGCCAACCCAGAAGACTGTGCAAGTTTTGGCAAAGGAGAAAGTGCCAAGAAATATCTTCGGGTAGATGACAGAGTAGAACGCGTACGAAGGTAAACTCAGTATCTCCTGAAATTATTTACTCAGTTGAATATTTTAGGTCAAGGAGTTGACTGTGGATGTTGAAGTATTGTAGAAGAAGGAAGAAAAGTTGGTCCATATAATAATTACAGAAAATTAGGGATCTAGAAATCTTCAACTATCATTGCAATTACACCTATTGCCAATTTTGTTATACTTCCCTGCCTTTTGTTGGGGTTAATGACTTTATTCTGTGTAGGTATATATCAAAACTAATGATAGGTAGGTGTTAAAATAATAATGGTAGATTTTTTTTGCAATTTTGTTATCTTTCACCTGAGGTAAGACTGTCAACTTAATGTAAAAGGATGAAGAACTAGGTATTCTGCATAAGATTCAAAATATGAATGTGGGATATGTCTCTCTCCTCTCTCTCTCTCTGTTGTAGATATTATGTTTAATGTACTGAGAATTCAATGAACACTGAAATAAGCCAAGGTATCACCTACAGAGCTTCTTAAAAATACAATTAATGCACTTATTTTAAAAACACATTGAATTTTATTCTGTAGGTATATTTCTTAATTCTTATCATAAAGTCAGGTCAGTGAAAATTTTTTTAGCTTTACTGAGGTGTAATTGGCAAATAAAATTGGAAGAAATTTAAAGTATACAACATTATGTCCTGACCCATGTGGCTCAGTTGGATGGGTATTGCCCCTCAAACAAATGATTGCCAGTTTGATTCCTGCTCAGGGCGCATGCCTGGGTTGTGAGTTTGGTCCCTGGTCTGCGTGTGTAGGAGAAGCAACCATTCTTATGTTTCTCTCTCATATCTGTTTCTCTCCTCTTTCTTCCTTGCTTCCTTACTTTAAAAAATAAATAAATATTAAAGTATACAACATTATGAGTTGATATACATATTCATTTTGAAAGTATTCCTTCCATCGAGTTAATTTTAACACATCATCTAATAGATTTACCCCTTTCCTCTTCTCTCTCTCTCGGTTTTTTTTTTTTTTTTTTTTTTTTTTGGTGAGAACATGTAAGTTTTCTCTTAGCAAATTTCAATTATATAATATAGTGTTATCAGCTATAGTCACGATGTAATACATTAGATCCTCAGACCTTATTCATCTTTTAACTGAAAGTTTGTACCCTTTTACAAAATTCCCCTTATTACCTGCTCTACCCCCAATCCCTGGCAATCACCTCCTTATTTCTATAAGCTGGCTTTTTTTCCCCCCTTAAATTTTCCCCATATAAGTAATACCATACAACATTTGGTTTTCTCTGTCTGGCTTGTTTTACTTAGCATAACGCCCTCAGGTTTACTCAAGTCATTGCAAATGACAGGACTTCCTTTTTTAAGGCCGAATAATATTTCACTGTAGGTATGTACTTCTTTATCCATTCACTCATTGTCAGATACAGGCTATTTCCATAACTTGGCTGTTATGAATAATGCTACAGTGAACATGGGAATACATACATCTCTTCAAGACACTGTTTTCCTTTCCTTTGCATATATACCCATAGTGGGATTGTTTGATCATACAGTAGCATGGTTGTCGGGAGTTAGGTTCTTCCATGTGATTTCAAGGAAGCATTCCAAGAACCCATGCGTGGGAGATGGTGGTGTGGCAAGGTTTATTCGTGTGGAGATAGAAGCTGCCCTCTGGGTTTCCAGTGTCCCATCTCCATCTGTCCAGCCATGGAAATAGTCCAACCATGTCCTCAGCAAGGCCAAGAGGAAAGCCAATGTTCAGAGTTTCTGCTCCATATTACAGTATAGTTCTTTTGAGGCCACAAGTGACTGCTATGTGGCGTCAGCCCCCATCCTGGCAGCTTAGCTGGTTCCAGGCTGCTCCAGTGGCAAAGTTTACATGGTTGCTAGAGAGCTTAGTCCTTTTGCAGCCCATGCCATCTGCTGCGGGCCCGGAGGCTACCCACATGGTCATGTGTTCCCAAGCTAGAGAGTGCGTGAACAAACTGGTGAATGCATCACCACTTAGGCAGGAGAAGCTTCTTTGTTTCTTGGGATTACATTAGCTTGGATGGGGGATGGACCGTGTACTTTTTCAAAATGACCAGTGAACTTCCCAAGCTTCTGCAGGCTTTGGATGGGCCCACCTCCAAACCAATCCCTTTTGTTCCAAGCTAGACTGATAGGCCTCTTTGGTCAAGTGCCTTCCCTGCATTCTTTTGACTTCTATGGTTCATGTGCTTGCTTTCCCCTGGACCCTCCTCCCCGCCCCTAGCAGTCTGATGCTTGAAGAGGAAACGAGGAGTGTTAATCTTGAAGGAGAAGTGCTGTGGTCCCCTGGGGTGTAAAGCTGTAGCTGCCTGGCTAGCAAGCAGGCTTATGTTCCCCAGTTTATTAAGCTCAATGTCTAGTTCCTTTGTTCTCTTTCCTCAATATCTAGCTAAACACTGATGGTAACTGTAGAGCTGTTATTAATTTATTGAAGACCCTCTATACTGTTTTCCATAGTGACTATGCTAGTTCACGTTCCCCCCAAAAAGTGCACAAGGGCTCCCTTTTCTCCACATCCTTGACAGCTTGTTATTTCTTGCCTTTTTGATAATAACCATCCGAACAGATCTGAAGTGATGTCTCATTGTGGTTTTGATTTGCATTCCTTTGATGATTACTGATGTGGAGTACCTTTTCATGTATCTGTTGGCCATTTGTATGTCTTTGAAAAAATTGTCAATTTAGGCCCTTTTCCTATTTTTAAATTGGCTTTTTTTCTTTGCTATTGAGTTGTATGAGTTCCTTGTATATTTTGTGTATTAACCCCTTATCAAATATGTGGAATGGGGGTGAATTTTCCCCCATTCCATAGTTTGTCTTTCCATTTTATTGATGGTTTCCTTTGGTGAGCAGAACTTTTTAATTTTGAGCAGTTTGTTTATTTTGCTTGTGTTGCCTTTGTTTTTGGTGTGAGATATATATATGAAATCATTGCCAAAACCCATGTCAAGAAGATTACCTTCTATGCTTTCTTCTGGGAGTTTTATGGTTTTAGATCTTATGTGCAATTTTTAAATCCATTTTGAGTTGATTTTTATATACAGTATAAGATAAGGTCCAGTTTCTTTCTTTTGCCTTTGAAAATCCAGTTTTTTCCAACAAAATTTATTAAACAGAAGCCCTGTTGGCTTTGAGAGCCAGGTGATCCAAGGACCTGTCCCTTGTACGTAGGTATAAAAGATGGGGCACAGAAGTGTGTGCAAGCTCCTTCCAGGGAGACGCAGGAGACTTGGAGTGGGCCTCCAGGGGAGGGCAGGGGTGTGTGCGCCAGCTTCTCCATCTTCAGGAAAGATTACCGCCAACCACCAGATGTGGGCTAAATTAGAAACCTGACCATCAGGCAGCAGCTTTCAAAGGGAGCAGGTGGACCTTTTTCAGCAAAAGCCTGGGAGATGGACGATTTTGCCTGATCCCTCTGCACTGATTTCTGGAGACCATAGCCTCCCTCAGCAAGTGCTTCTATGACCATGAACAACTCCTCCTTTGTTTGCTACAGTCTCATGGATCTCATGGACCCGAGGCTCATTGGCTCACAGTTAGATGCGTTGGGGACCCATCTGTCAAGTGATAGTGGGAATCTTAGAAGTTGGGCTGCTAAATATGGAGTCCAAACCCTTCAATCCTTAGGAAGAAGCTGGAAGTTGAGAGTCCCTTCCGAACCATGGCACTGTGCTAAGGGTAAAGTTTATGGTCAGAGTGTCATCTCTCAGCCGTTCTTACCTACTGCGATGGGGATATTTTTTCATTCACTGGATGTATAGGAGGGGCTCAGCTAGTTTCTGGGTTTATTTCAGAGGTAATTGCTCCGTGTGTGGCTCTACATTTGGTGTGTCTCTGGAAAGAGGGGAGTTCAAAGCCTCCTATATTGCCATCTTGGTTGATTCGCAAGCAAACTTTTTATATTGAGGTTGTGTTGCCAACCCATGAGTCACTGTTTCCTAACATGTGAAACAAAAGTTATATGCCATCTTCTCATGTAGTATTTTCTAATGCTTATCCAAACTGGTACAATTCTAGGCATATTTCAAGGAATAAATAATATTATATAAAATTAAAGAAACAATGAAGAGTTTTACTAGCCATACTTAAACAAACAGATGTTTTGTGGTGCAGAGTTAAGATAGGAATCATGAGTGTATTTGATGACTCTCCCTCAGTTTGGTGAGTATGAAACGGAGGGTGAAGAAGAGACTGAGGGAAAAGAGTTTTACTTCTGTATTTCAGGAATCAGCTAGAAATTCTTCCCCACTCTTCCTGCCCAGTTCTCTCACCTGCCCCATCCCCATGTGATTGGACTTCTAAAGGAAAATTCCATGATCTAAGTTGATCTTCTAGTTTGATTGTAAACGACAAATAAATTTTAGTGAAATAATTGACCTGAGTTGTGAAATGAGACAGTATCCTTCAGGAGGTGCAGCAACTGTGTGCACAGCACCCCCTGGTGGTTAGGCACTGGCTTTTCATTATGGCAAGAGAGGAGACAGTCTAAGAAAAATGACAATGCCCAGTTTCCAAGTTGTGTTTCTGAGACATTATTGTTCCTGTCCAATGTTCCTAATAATAGCTCACTTTTGGAGATAATTTTTAGGGAAAGAGTTTTCAGTGCATCCCATAGACTTTTAAAAAAATTGTTCTTAAAACTACTTGCACTTATGACTGTAAAATTGATATTAGCATATTCCAATGGCAGGGACTTAATGAGGCTACAAATGAAGTAAAAGGTATGCTTTCAGGTATGCAATATTGATTAAGCTAATAATACACATATGGAACAATTAATTAAAAACATAAGGTGATATGTATTAAAATGATAAGGTAAGTGGCCTAAAGTGAGTTATTTACATTCTGGACAGACAGAAATCAGTGATGATTAGAAAATATTTTACATATGTATTTATTTAATTCTATCTCTAGAATTGTTCTAGAAAGAATTCAAGACCAAATACATTCAATACAACAAGATAAGAAGCAAGTTGTAAGGTAATCAGGGCAGTT